TCATATTAACACTTTGGGATCTCTCTATTTGCATTCTTGGTATTTTGAAAAACACTGGCTTATTATCTCCAACTGTGTTTTACAATACTCACGTGTTTGGCAAGAGTTTTAAAAGTCTCAGAAGGACATATATGATGTAGAATAAATATATACACTCATAATGATCACTTTCTCTATTTGGGCATCCATGAATACAGACACAGACATATATTGTATAAACACGTCTCATGTTCAAGGAGAGAGGAAGTCTGTGTATATTAATTTTATCTTTGAGATATTTGTGCTTGTAGTTCGGAACATTGCAAAAATATTCATTAGGAATAGAGCAAAATATTCATGAAATGAAAATAATATGAGTCATAGAATGTTCTTTATTCCTGGCAAGGATGATTTACTATCCTTAAAAAATCACAAAACTACAGAACTTCTGGACTTACCTAGACAGATATATTCTTATATCTAAACATCTGATGCTAAGTTTAATATAAATTATGATAATAAATTATAAACCATATGAATAATATACCCTTTCCACAGTGTATATGATTTCAGTTAAATTAGGAAAATAATGTTTCAAATTACTTAAAATATATTTAACTTTAAAGTATTAACTTTAAAATTTTTCACTATAGTACTACTTAATAATAATCATGATAAAAATATGTTCCTCAGGGTCACAGCATTTAGAAAAAAACTATAAATTTCAACAAGCATATTTCTTAAAAATTGGAGGAAACATAAGGTCATTTGAATATTTAAGTAAGTCAATCCAAGGTATACTTCATTTGCTCTCTTTTCTCATTGTAAGTATCCAATAGCAAGGATTATCATTCTTTCTAACTTTTAGAAACAGAAAGTATCTCTATTTTCTTAGACTGCTTTCTCATCAACTTAAGTATCCTCTGCTTGTGTCCAGGTATTATTTAAGCCAAACCTGACTTTGTAATGCAAGGTAACAGCCCTCACAGTTGATTTTTTTTTTTTTACATTTTGATCTCTTGCCATGTTACTGTTTCATGAGGTCAAAATCCCTCAAAGCTTTGACCTGAATAGCAGTGAAAATTTCAGGTACACAGTGTTCTTTATATGAGCACAATCAGATGCCTTGTCATCTCAGTCACAATTCCTGTAACTTACCGGATTTTAACCATCACCAGAATTTTGCTCATTCTTTGTAGTACCAATCAGTTAAAAAAATTTTAAAAGATTTAGTATATCCAGTCATTAATGGGGCTGATTTTTCGCCCCCTTAAACATGCTGGAAAATATGCAAACAAGGGTGCTTTGATCTTCAAAGTCGAAACCTTACCCTCAACATTCTTGGAATTCTTCTTACGTAATTTTGATAAAGTTTAATCTGCCATTCAAGAAAGCAAATCAATGTCTTTTTTTAGTTATAAGATACCATTTCTTTGCTCTATCTCCTATTAATTCCTCTTTTCCCAAGTAGCTTTATTTTTGTCTTTCTAAGAGCCCTAAAACTCCAGCAAAGATTTGGACAAAGCCAATGAGCAAATATTGAAATGTGAGCATAAGAGAAGCTCAACCTTAATGTTCCAAGGAAGCAATTTGCCTAATGTAAGTCCATTACATTAGTCTAGTATAGGAGTGTACAACTGTTTGAAAATAAAACTAAAAATAACTCATAGGGAACCACAGCAAGCCCTCTAGATTCAGTAAACAGTATGCCTTGCATATCAAGAACATCTTTTTTCCCCTTCAGAATGCTTTCATGTCTATGGCTTTATTTTATCCTCATCACATCCCACTCAGCAAGTAGAGCACGTACATGTTGTAATGTATGTCAGACATCATTTTATAAAGAACTATACAAACCAGAGCTAGTATTGTTTTATTATGGAATTTGAAAAATTCAAAAATAAGAGGTTAATAAGTAAGTTGCCCTAGGTGGTGGTCTCAAAACTTCTAGGCCATTAACAATAAGGCTTCTAAGATTTTTTCCTATCTAGCATAATCAAATCAGTAATATTTTGGTGAGATGTACAACCATCTTCAGAAAATAGTCTCATTCCAAGGGAATACATATATTTAAATATTGCATTGCTAGAAAGGTTTCTATTGTCCCCATTGAAGGCAGCAGTGTGGAAAACCAGAATGTGAGAATTGGCACATGTCATTATCTTGCTAATTCAATGTTGTTTATATATATATATATATAGATATATATATATATATATATATATATATATATATAGAGAGAGTGAGAGAAATAGAT